CAGGTGTTACCAAGATGCACCAAAAGCATCCTACAAGGTGACAAATTTGGCCTCCTGGGGGAAAAAATCAGAGATTTCTGATTTAAGAGTACCAGAGAATTGAAAGTTTTCAAAGATAGATTACTGTTCTGGATTAATTCAAGAACTAATTTCTTAAATGACTGTGACCCTTCATCAGGTTTCAGAATAGCTTCATTTACTTAATACTCAGAAGATAGATTCAAGCAATCTGATGTATTAAATATGTAGAAATTTCGGTCAATTTGCTGAAAGTCCTAAGCTTCTGTTAGCCCTCACGAGAACAGCCACACTTCTGTGACCCTGTAAAGGCGATCCCGGGGGAGCAGTGTGTAAAACAGCTACCAAAGTAAAACCACAGAAGGAGGTTAATACTTGCCATTCATTTGATCTCCCAAGGTGAATGATTCTGGTTTTTAAAATGATTGTTTAAAGCACTATTGGTAAAGTGAGCATTTGTTTTAGAGGCGTCTCAAATAACAATTCTGGATAATTATTAAATATACATTTATGCATAAAATACTGGGTCAAATGGGACTGATATCCTCTGTAAAAATGTCTTCTTGATGGGTTAATCTTTGAAAACTGAAAGGATTTTTCCTTTCATGTGTTCAGCTGTATTTTATACGACTAGTTGTCAAGTTCTCTAATCAAGAGAGATGAACAGTTGACGTGAGGTAAATTAAACACACACACACACACACACACACACACACACACACACACACACACACTTTGGTGGGGAGGGCATTTAACCTTTCCTGTTTCTCCAAAGAACATCTGAATTCTAGGCCCTCTCCTGTATTTTTAACAAGCAATTTAGTTGCCATAGCAATACTTCCTGGTCTTGAAATGCCTCTAGGATGGAACTGGCTGAGACGCATTCACCATTCCCCAACTCTGCTCTCTGTTTCCAGGCTCTAGCATTTCTGGTCCCCTTTGTGTTCACACAGTTCAGACTCTAGCATCTACTGAGAACCAAAGATATAATTTTTTATTCAACAATTTTTCTAGGAACCAGAGTTCTGAAGGTGATAAGAGAAGACTTTAGTGCGATGCAGATAGGCTGTGAGAGAAACAACGTTTGGTAAATAAATCATGAATCAGCGAGACAGGGACGAATTCCTTGTTTCAGGGCTGTGACAGACGATGCTTAACATGACTGATATGAAGCAAATTTTGTAAAATATCTTTCCAATTTTGACTAGAATTATAGGCAATCTTAATCCAAGCCAAAGGAGTCATATTTTTAGATGTTTGTTGTATTCTTTAGACTACAAAAAGGGAAATTTTAGCTCTCTAGGCTGCAAAGAAGACTGTCCTAATGTAAATAAGTATGTGCCTGCCTGTGCATCACTCAGACAATGAAATGGAAGCCGCCCAGAATGTGAGGCCAGCGTCCTCACCTGTGCGCATGTCAGTGCCTAACACCAGAATTCCATCTTAGTCATTTACTGCAGATGCCAGATCTTTAGTAGTTTCCTCACATACACTTAGATCAGACACTGAGCAAATATGATGTCCAATTTAGTTGATAGATAGAACTCCCTTTAGTTGCACTAACATACTATGTTGTCAGCTCAGTCAATGAGTGTTTATTGAGTACTCACAGCACAGAGTATGTACCAGGCACTTGGAAATTGTTGCGAAGACCCAAGTCCATCTCAATCCTACAATCACTGACTTCAACTAGACATTATCTGTGGTCCTATGAGAACTTGAGGGCAGCACAGATGTAGAAAATACTCAAATAATTACAGAACATCATTTGAGTCATTAGCTTCCATTCCTCTCCCACCCTTATGGACTAAACCTTCATTTGGAGCTATTAAACAGGACACAAAATTGAACGGTTTGTGATTCCTCTTTTCCTTTCCCGTGCCTATCCTTTGGGAAGGAAGTGGAGCAATAGTTTAGCAAGTGGTCAGCAGTGGGAAAAAGGAAAAATAGCAACCAAAAAGGGGTCTCAGTAATTTACAAACTGAATAGATAATCTAGAATGGTGCAGCCACACAACAGTGAAAAGGCATGAATTGGGCATGAACTTAACAGCTCACAGAGAAGAAAAACTAAGCCGTGATGAATAAGGACCACAGAGACATATCCAATTTTTTTTTAAAAAAGGATCAACTTGCTATTGCTTTGTTTTATCTATGCTTAATAACTGCAACACATAAACTGATTTGTGGTTCAGAAATTCTGTGCCAGATTAACTTTTGCAAATTGTAGAACTGGTTTTTTTCCTCTTGCAAAATAAAAACCTCATCTCCACAGACTAAAGAGATTATGAATACCCACCAAGCACATACTTTAGGCTAGATCATTTTGTTCTAACATAATATATTCATATAACATTTTCTAACTGAGGAACTAAAAATATTTTTGTGTCATTAACTCCTTAATCCTCGTAACACCTGGAGAGACCATGGGTTTACTTAGTTGCATCTATCTGTGCTGTTTCATCTTCCAACAGCCTACTTACTCACAATTAGGTTAGTTAAAGCACTGTGGGTATTTTACTCACAGTATTGCACATATCAATTACAAAACTGTCATTTTCAAGCTAATGTAAGTATTGTTAATTTAATTGGCTATCTTATAATTAGGATTTCAACAAAGCACTGTCATTTATTAGCTGAAAAAGACTGGGTGATAGGTGTGTTTAATGCACAGCATATGTGAGTTCTCATACTAACCTGAAAACACTTAAAAGGAAATCATGATTAGCAAGTAGAAAGATAATAAGTCTTAAACTAAGGCAACAGAGGGACTATAAACTAAGACATTAGGTAGATTTGGTTAGTTATTATGACTCTATCCTGGTCTTTTTATGTGGTCAGACCCCTGAAGATTTCCTGTTATTTAAATTTTAATGTTTTTAAAATGGTATGAAAATGATGTAATTACTACTCAGTTACCCACTTTTTAGGCACATTCCAGGCAGTTTCTTTTTCTTTCAGATAAAATGAGTACCCTTCCCTGTGCCTGTAAACCTGGCAGCAATGGAGACAAACTCCTTTATTTCCCAGTTACACTGCCTGCTCTGGTTCTTGGGAAAGAGAAAGAAATGTTGAAGATGGGGAGAAAGTTTCCTGTACACTGCAAGGCCTAGGACGCCTCCTGCTGTTTCTTTTCTGGGAGTGGCTGGATAAAGGCAGGTCAGGAACAAAGAAGGTGGCTTCTAAAGGTAGGACCGCCTCCCCAGCTCTGCCCCTCTTCTCCTCAGCAAGGGAAACTCTCCTCTAATGGTGCTGGTGAAACACTCGGATGGGTTTGTGGCGGTGGGTGGGATGGTGACTGAATACAGAAACAGCAACAGAACATCTGAGGGCTATCTTCCCTGAAAGTTACCTCCATCGCCTTGCCTCTTACTCTCCCCTCTCCCTCTGCTGCACCACCTTGGCCTCCTTTCTGCTCCGCAACCTGCCAGACATGCGTGCTCCACCTGGGGGGCCTCGGCCCCCTGCCTGGGCAGCTCATCCCCCAGGTCCCCAAATGGCTTGCTCTTGCCATCCTTCAGGCTCTGCACAGTGGAGCTTCCCTGGCTGCCCAATCTAAAACTTCACCCCTAGCCCTCCCTCCTGATGACTCCATCTCTGAAATACCTGACATACTACAAATAGTGGTGTTTACTGGCGACTCGCCACTGCCCCACCCCTGCCGAGCAAGAGTATCAGTTCTATGAGAGCAGTGATGTTTGTTTTCTGTATTCAGTGTTGTATCCTCAGTGTTTATAACAGTGCCTGGCACACAGTAAAAGGCCCAAAAGGCTCCATAAATGTTTGTTGGGTGAATGAATGAAAATGAGGGAGAGAGGAGATGGTCAGAGATCATGTTTCAAAGTCGGCCTTTCCAGGATACCACGAGGGTATTTATTAGTACTAGACATACCAGTAGGATTAGGCTCCCACTGACTGTGGTGAGGTGTGGGCATCGTCTGTCAAGAGAGAAGCTATGCTTGCCCACCCAGCCATAGGGTAAATGCTCAGGAAAGGAAGAAATGGTTTCTGTGGATGAAAACAGCCCAACAAAAGAAATCTCATCTACAAAATAATTCTGTCCTCTCTTGGGAATGAAGAATTCAGTGATCAAGATAATTCATCTTTAAGACCTCTGCCTTTGGTGTCCATCCTCTACAAAGAAACCTGAACATTTAAAGTCAGTGCACTTTGGGACTGGGTGCCCAGAGGAAGGGCTTCCAGGGTTGCCAGACCTCCTCCCTCTCAGACAGAGAAAATGTTAGTCACTTGGCTCTGCCATGCTCTCCCTCTAGGTGTTGACTCAGAATCACTGGGCTTCTTCGGATAGTGACTAGGAAAGCAAGTCAGTCATCACAAGCAATAGAAGCTGTGGGTCAAATGTCACTGACTAATCAACCTGTCACTTGTCAATTACCCATCCCCATGAAGAGATGCCACTGATCTAGTTTCCTGTCAATAGACATCTGTTTGGGCACATCAGCTGCTGCCAACCATGGCCTGCCAGGGTATCCAGCATCGTCCACAGGCATTGGCGGTTAAGAAATCCCTCTACCCTTCTTCTTGATAATGTCACAGAAGAGGCAAATGCAGTTCCTGACAACATAATGCTAGCTTCACAGAGATGTGTCTCTTTGAGCGCTGAGCCAGTTACACGGAGCTTCAGTTGCATGGATTTTCTCACTGCAAAAGCAATAGCTGGGCTTAAGGAAGCTGGAGGCTTCACACTGTGCTGAGATACACAATTCTGCCTTCGGTGGTGCTCATGCTCATCATCCCCCCTCTGAGTCAGGAAGAGAAAAATTGTTTTTGGGAACCATCTTCATTCCACATTTAAAGAAAACCAAATGGGCACTCTCTTCTCTCTCTTAAGCTCTGGTGACACCTTTTTCTGGAGCTAGATTCAACATCCCCGATTCTCTGAGTAGAGCTAGAGGCCAAGGTAGCCCCGCCACACAAAAAATCTGTTTGTCTCTCTGAGTTGTCACCTTGGCAACGACCTCATGAGGTCCTTGCTGGATCTAAAATTCTAGATCTCCTACTGTACTCACTATAATTTCCCCTTCTATCTTGATAGACTACCTCATCTGCACTTTCAATCTGTCAAGGGACACTTATTCTGAGTTGCCGAAGGCTTTTGTACCAGGTGAGGCTGGGAGGAGGCAAGTAAACAATTATAATACAAGCATGACAAATGCTCTGACAGGAATTACATACAGAACATGTGGGATCACTGAAGAGGAGAAGTCTAAATCAGTCCAGGAGGTAACAGAAGGTTAGGGAAGCACTGCCAGAGGCAATGGAGTCTTCAAAGGGTTTTAAAGACAGGTAAAAACGGGCAATGAGAAGGTGGTGAGAGACACATGCAATGAGAACAGTATGTTCAGAGCTGAAGGCACAGGGTAAGAGGGGGAGACATACATGCCAAACTGCAAGTAGCTGGATACCTGTAGGCTGAAACAGCACGTGTAGGGGTGGGCGGAGAGGCAGGAGACAAGGCTGTAGTCAGGTCATTCTTAATGCCTCTGTCTGAATTTCCTCCTGAAGGCAAACAGTATCCATGAATCCTCTTAGGAAGGGGCATGACAAAGGTACAACTGTGGTGAAGGCAGTGGAGATGGGGAAGAGAGGAAGGATTTGTAGATATGTAGGAGCTGGTACTGCCAGCTCACTGGCTGAGTTGGGGAGGTGAGGGAAAGGAATTTAGGAAGACTCCCATGTTTCTGGCTCAGCAGATGGAGAGATGGGCAGTACCACTGAATGAGAGGAGGAAATCATGGTATGAGGCAATGTGAGCAGGGAAAGGGAGGAAAATGGAATTCTAGATGCACATGGAACATTGTTAGGTGGCTGGGGGAGTGGGGGGATGGGGGACGTGTCGGGTAAGTAGACAGAACACACGGAATATTAAAAGAGAGTGGGCAGAGGTGCTAAGCTGCCAGTTTGCTTCCATCTTCACTGGCAAGAAGACTGGTCTTCAAATCAGAAATGGCAGAACAAACATAATAAAGAGAAAATTGAAGCCCCAATAGGTGAAGTGAAAGAGAGTATCTAGTCAATTTAAATGATTTCAAGTCTCCTGCTTAGATGAGTTACACACCAAGCCTGCTGAAAGAAATTGCAGATGTAATCTCAGAGACACGACTGGTAAACTTCAAGAAATTGTGGAGACTATAAGACAAGAGGAGGACAACTGTTTTCCAGATTTTCAAAGTGAAGAGAAAAAGACTATAATGGGAAGTATTCAGAGAAGTTTCACACCATTTATGACAAAAATTCTAGAATGGCTTATTACATAGATAGCTTATAATTACTTTGGTTAATGCACACAGCTGAGAAAAAGCAAGGAGCGGGTGTTGTTTGCTATCTGACGGAAGTTTGTTTGCACTGGTAGTTTGTCCAGACTGATTGTGGCCTGTCTCCTCTCCCTTCCTAAGCACAAAGTGAGTTGTCTGGCCTGCAGTATGAACTCAAGCTTCTCTATCTGTGATTAGTTGCCTGTGGTACTCAGCCTGTATGTGGCCCTTTATGAAAACAGACTGACAATTTAAATAAAGAAATCCAAAGTCTGAATTCTCCAAGAAATCCAGCATCACCTGTCAGGGTACCCAGGGAACCGACAGGCAGCATTAACCTCTGTAGTTATTAGCCTAACATCAGTAAACCTTTGTCTATTAGAATCCTACTACTTTATTTTTTGGTGCTATTTTTTTCTTTACACATACTCACTTTAAAGTGAGAACAGGAAACAATAAAGTAAATGTGGTGGAGCATGATGGGGGAAGGCAGCCATGTCTTACCAACATGTCTACTGCTGGCAGGCTAAGATATAATGTAAAATATGTACATTAAAATATATATGTACACATACATACACACACACACACACACACACACACACACACACAACATTAGTCTTTCAGAGACCTTCTGAGAACCTTAAAAAACAAAAAAAGGCAGCCTATTCAAGACCCAGATGGCTCTCCTGAACCAAAGTAAATCCTCTGGGGGATGTCACCAGTCTCACATTTTACAATTATATGATCATACAAATCAAGCAATATTGGGTTAAAGTTCCCTTCATTAAACAAAACAAAGCAAAACATAATGAAAACACAACTAAAATCCAAGACATGAAGACTAATATTAAAAAGATCTTTTAGAACCAGGTCTCATATTCAGATCTGTTTGGTTAATATACAGTCATTTATTAAAGCTGAAAATGATTTTTGACTCTGTATAATCTCTTTTGACATTATCCTGTTAAGTCCCTAGCCAATACAAAGTGAGACTTGACTAGGAGGTAAGCTATATCCAGGGTGAGGCGCTAGTCCTCTCCCTCCACAAGCCTAATCCAGTCCCTCCACAAGTCTAATTTTGGTGCATCTCCTCACCAGAAAATCTAAACAAGCACCTTGTACATTTTTGTCCCTCCCTTTCCATCCCCCTTCTTGATATTTAAAGCAAAGAACAGAAGAGTATCTTCACTGAAGTTGCTGGGATCATCAATGTATCAAAACATAATTGCACGTGTGTTCCATTTTAGAAGGAATGAATGAAAAGGAATCTTCTTACCGTATTGACCCGATCATGTATGGCTGTGCCAGCTGAACCACAATTGCACCACTTCCTAACTGATGACATGTGTAGCCAGAATCCCAGTCATAATTCTTGGTGTCCCCGTTCAACAAGGCATTTCGGCTCCGACTGACTCCTTCAATCACACTGGCACAATCGGCAATTGTTGCAACATTCTCCATGGGAACTGTGAATCCAACACAAGATTCAGCATCAAGACAAAGAAGCCAAATATATCCCAATAGTGTGCTATGAACAAAATTAATTACTATCAACGATAAAACAGAATTAGAGCAGCTTGATTATCTCAAGTTATGAACACATTTTCCATGCCCAATAGCTTTTTAAAAAGTTGAGCCTAAGGTTGGAATGAACCAAACCACATATAGTAATCAGTCCTAAAGAATTTTATTATAAAGAAACATGATATCCTATAAAATACAGAATGCATAAATACACTACAATGGGAAACCACACAGTAATTGTGAAATATTACTACAATGGGAAACCACACAGTAATTGAGATTAATGAACTACAGCTATATACAAATGAGTGAATCAAAAAACAATGTTGAGTGAAAAAAACAAGGCACAGAAAAATATGGTATATGAGTTCATTTACACAAAGTTTTTTAAAAAGGCAAAACTAAAAATTTACTCCATTTAGGAATACATGAATAAACACAAAACTAAAAAGGAAATTCAGGGAATTATTACACTAAATCCAGGATTATCTGTCTGGGAAGAGGGGAGATGAAATCTTGGAGGGGCTGCAAATCTCCAGGTCTTGTTCTATTCTCAAGCTAGGCAATAGGTACACAGACACACGTTTTATTAGTATTCTCTAAAGTGTACATATTTATTACACTTAATTTGTTTCAAGCAGCTTGATATATATAGATTCAGTATTTCAGAATTCACAAAGCAGGAAAACAACCCAGGACATGGTATCAATCCCTTTTCAGAATATACAGTTGCCTTCAGCCATGATTCATTTCCCATTTTTATTTGTTTACTATTCTGAGCATTTCAACACATATGCTTGTCTCTTTGTTCATGAACTGCTGTATTTTGAAACACCGGCTGTTTTGATTCTGAGTCTCTCTATATACATCAACCTGTTCATTTATAAAAGTCTAGGGTTTCCACAAAATGATAGCTGTCCAAAAATGATGTAAATTCTCTAAACACTGAGAAGAGAATGATAAGAGGTGAGGGCCTTTTAAGTCCCTTGGGACCTTTTTCGTGCATTTACTGGTGCTGGGGTTTTCTTCAGACATTTAAGTTATTTTCCCCAAATCTACAATTAACCTTAGCTACTCTCATTCAAGATTTGCAGCTTACTTTACATAATTTTTAAGTGGATTAAAAAAAAGACAATTTCTCATTAGATACATACTGTATTTTCAGTAATAATATATTCTGTGAAAAGAGAGAAGGTGAGAAGTACTACTATCATGCCGAAACATTTCTTACTTTTTAATGATGTGGAAAATAATGTTCCACATATCTTCTAAGCAACATGTTTATTTTCCAAAGTTGGGCATGCCTGTACTTGAGCCCTCATCTTATATACCTTCACTACTTGCTTTGTTCCCTGCAGATGAGAACAGCCATCCACAGATAAAGGAGAGAGAAAGGGAATGAAGAAGGGAGAGGGGATGGATTTTCTGCAGATGAATCCCTTGACTATGAAGCTTAACTCCAAAGCAACAAGCAAAAACATTCATGAAATAACCTGTGGGGACAGTTTCCTGGCAGAGAAGGGGCTTAGAGACAAGTCCTCTATGATTTCGAAAGGAGAAGAGATAAAGGACTATGTTTAGAGGCTAAGTCATGGTACCTCTATTTCACGAAAAATGGGAAGTATTCTGTGATTTGGAAGAGAGAACTTAAGAAAGTGGTATAAGATATACAGTAAATTGAGCTGAGACATAAAGTCATACTGTAGGCAGCCTTAGGCTGCAGTAACAGTCTCCATTCTCCCAGGTGCTTAAATAGCACACATTTGTTTTTCACTCACCCTATGCATTCACTGATGATCAGCAAGGTGGCTCTGAGCACTGTATCACTCAGGGAACCTCGTGACGGAGGCTTTGTATTGATATGTGCTTCCTTAATCACAGCAGCAGTGAGAAGAGAGTGAACTGGCTCTTAAGACTCTTCCCCCAAAGCAACACACATCACTTTGCTCACATTTTTTTATTAGCTAAGGCAAGTCACAGGGTCTCACCTAACTTCAAAGGGAGTAGGAGAGGGCTACCTTGCTCTGTGACCAAAAGAAGGAATATTTGGCCAACAATATTAACATCTACAACAAACATTAAACCAGGCTGCAGGAACATTCAATAGATAGATAAATCTAGTTTAGTTGTGTAAAGTCTATAACATATTTCAATGTATAAATATACCAACGGGACATTTGGATTGTTACTGCTGTTTTATGATTACAAACAAGTGTCTTCTTGTGCACATAGGTAAGAGTTTCTTCAAGGAATGTATGAGATGTGTGTGTGTGTGCATGGATATATGGAAGTGGAATTACACTCATGGCTGAGTCACCTCACTGGCAGGGTGCCAATCCTTTTTCAGTTAATGTATTAAAAGTTAAAATATTTAATCTTTCCCTTTATGATTTGTGCTTTCCCTCTCTTGTTTATCAATTCTTTCCTACCCCAAATTCATAAAGATATCTTCCGATATTTTCTTCTAAAAGTTAAGAAATTTTGCTTTTCACATTTGGCTCTTTAATCTGTTTAGGATTTATTTTTGGTATCCTATGAAATACAGATCTACTTTCATCTTTTATTCATAAGGTTAGCCAATTTCCCCAGCACCATTTAGTGAACAGTCCATCCTTTCCCCCACTGATTTGTTACTTTAGTCACATACGAAGTTTTCATACATATCCACATCTCTTTTTGAGATCTGTACTGTTTCTCTGATTTGCCTAGTCTTCTGCCTTTACCACGCAGCTTTCTTTTTTAATTGAAGTAACATTGTGTTAGTTTCTGGTGTACAGCACAGTGATTCAATTATACACATATATACATACTCTTTTTCATTATAGGTTATCATAAGATATTGAATACAGTTACCTGTGCTATACCATAGGACCTTGTTGTTCATCTATTTTATATATAGCAGTTTGTGTGTGTTAATCCCAAACCCTAATTTATCCCTCCTCCACCCCTTTCCCCTTTGGTAACCATAAGTTTGTTTTCTATGTCTGAGAGTCTGTTTCTGTTTTGTAAATAAGTTCATTTGTCTCATTTTTTTAGATTCTGCATGTAAGTGATATCATATGATACTTGTCTTTCTCTGTCTGACTTACTTCACTTAGTATGATAATCTCTAGGTCCATCCGTGATGTTACAAATACCATTATTTCATTCTTTTTTATGGCTGAGTATTATTCTATTATTTATATATACCACAACTTCTCTATCCAATCATCTGTAGATGGACATTGGGGTTGTTTCCACGCCTTAGCTTTTGTAAATAGCGCTGCTTTGAACACTGGGGTGCATGGATCTTTTTGAATTGGAGTTTTCTCCAGACATATTACTATGCTGCTTTAATTACTGTAACTTTACATTATCTTAAAATCTGCTGAAGTGAACACCTTTCCTCCCTTTCCTTTCCCTTCTCCTTTCTTCTTCAAAATTACCTTAGATATTCTTGGCCCTTTCAGGGAAAATTTTCATCTTGTTTTAAGTTTTCAAGAACACTGGCATAAAATTATTCACAAGTATATTCTCTTTACTATTCCAAATATCTTATTTGTACCTTTTCTTTCTTTTTTGGTCAGTCCTATACATGTTTGTTTACTTTATTAGTATTTTCAAGAAACCAATTTTTGATTTTGCTGATTCTTTTTTTTTATTTCCTACTTCACTAAATTCTGCTCTTTTTATTATTTCTTCCTTCTAATCCCTTGGATTTATTCTATTTTTTTCTAAATATCTGAAGCAACTGCTTAACTCATTAATTTTTCTTCTTTTCTAATAAAAGCATTTAAAGCTAGTATTTTACCTCTAAGTCCTGCTTTATCTTTATCCTTTAAGTTTTGACATACAGTGTTTTGAAGAGTACTGGTGAGGTATTGTGTAGAATGTTCCTCAGTTTGGGTTTGTCTGACATAGTGTTTTAAAAGTTGATCACATCTAAGGATTTCTAATTTCCATTGTGATTTTTCTTTGATCCATAAATTATTCATAAGTATGTTTTTAACTTTTCAAGTTATCTTTTTGTTACTGATTTTAAATTACATTGCAATATGGATAAAAAAGTGTGGTCTGTATGATACTGACTGTAGAATTTGTTAAGATACACTCTTTTGTATCCTAGTACATGGTTAATTCTTATTAATATTTTACATGTGCCTGAAGAGAATGCGTATTCTCTAATTTGGGAGGTGTATGGTTCTATATATATTTACTATATCAAACTTACTGTGTAGTTCAAATCACTTATATGCCTACTAATTACTACTAGGAGAAGTTCATTTAAATCTCCCGTTATGAACAGATCTATCAATTTCTCCTTATAATTCTGTCAATTTTTGCTTTATATATTTTGAGACCATGTCATTTCATGTATATCATTTTAGAATTACATCTTACTGATGGAATGAACCTTTCTTCATTATGTAATATCACTTTTTACTTCTAATAATGCCTTCACCCTAAAATCTACATTGTCTGATGTCAAATAAATATAGCACTTTTATTTTGGCTACTATTTCCTTAGTATCACTCTTCTACTTTTCTGGTCTCTTGTAAATAACATATAACTGGGGTTTTGAGAAATTCAGTGCCCTTTGTCTTTTAACTGAAAGATTTATATGAGTTACAGTGTTATTACTGATGTACATTAATTCACTTTTATTTCCTATTTACAAGTTATTTTTTTTCTGCTGCTTCCTCCACTTCTCTGTCCACTCTGTTCCTGTTTTCTGATGGATTAAGTTTCCTTTATTTTCCCCAACAGCTATCAGCTATCTTTACTGATTTGGTTTGGAAGTTATAAACTATAATTCTATTCTTTTACTACATTTCAGACGTGTATACCAGACTTAACAATGTTTAAAATTAAAAATCACATATTCCCTTCTCCTGAACAATAAAAAAGATCTTAACACTTTTTCATACAAATCACTTGCCTCCTGGCTTGTTATTCATATCTAACATTTTAGTTCTACCTTGTTTTATACTTTCTCAATCAGTCATTTTTAAAAAATCATTATTTCATAGTCAAAGCTTATTTATCCACATTCACCAATTTATTCACCACTACTTTTTTTTTATATTCTCCTTTCTTCTTGGCCCAACTTCCTTCTTTCTAAGACACACGCACCAGAGTTCAGTAAAATTTTTGTTTGAAAGTGTATTTTGCCACCACTCTTGAAAAACAGTTTATTTAGGTATAGAACTCTAAGTGAAAAGTTGTTTCTCCTCAGCATTTTCAAGATATTATTCCACAGTCTTCTGGCTTCTACTGTTATGTCTACTAAAGTCTGCTATCCTTCTGTTATAATTTTTTTCCTCTACAGTTAATTTTAAGGTTTTCTTTTTGTTTTAGGTGTTTTGCAATTTCACTATGTTGTACATAGATGTAGATTAGATTTATCCTGCTCAGGACGGAATATGAGCATGTATGGCTTTTATCAAGTTTGTAACATTATGATCATTATTTCTGTGAGTATTGATTATCCTTCATTTTCTGTTTTAACCTCTTCTAGAATTCCCATTAGAACTCTGCTGGGATTTTTCATTCCATCTTCTATATTTTTTAACCTTCCTTTCATTTTCCCCCTTCTTTTCCTCTTTTTGAAGCATTCTGGTTAATTTCTTAAAATTACTATCTGTGTTCACTAATTCTCTTCAGGTGTGTCTCATCTGCTATTTAACCTGTCCGTTGAGCTTTAAAGTTTCACTACCAAACAAAAATTACCCAGTATTGAAAATAAATGAACTGGAGTTATGTGTGTCAACAAGGGTCAATCTCACAAAGAAAGTTAAGAAGAGGAAGTCAGAAAAATACAAAGGGTATAATTCTATTTCTAATGTTTAGTGATAGACACCTAGTGAATCTCACCCATGTGGTGAGATTAGAAAGGAGAACTGGGAAACAGTAAACACTAAAATTCAGATGAATGGTGACCTCTGGATAGGAAGGCAGTGAGAACGCACCTAGGGGAGGAACACACAAAGAGCTCTGAAGTTGGTAGTGTTCTGTTTCTCAGGCTGGGTGAGTGTTCCTGCTCTCCAAACTTTACATATATGTTCCTTATATTCTTTTGCACAAATGGAATATTGAACAAAATTTTAAAGTTCTACATATTTTAACTGTTTTTATCAAAACCAGAAAGATGCAAGTGATTTCAGGGGCTTTGAAAGAATAAATCTTTGGGGATTCTTTTGAATGCTGATGCCCTCTGTAGTGTCCACTGGGTCTTAACTGCTGTCTTTGTTGACTCTCCCTGAGCTTGTCAATTTCCTCCTAAGCTAACTTACTGCTTCGCAATTTCATCCCTCGATAATCTGATTTTAACTAGTGGTCAATTAGTGCAGCAGCATCAGAGACAATCACAAAATCATTACTGATATGGTTCAAGCTCTTTGGGAAACAAGGCTGGGATAAGCACTCAGAATAGCTTTTCTAAAGACGTATTTATAAATGGGTTTACTACAGAAGATTCTTTCAGTCTCCAACATTTTCTCTAAGCAAAACTGCCCTAGCAATATCACCCTCTGACCCTCTGGAATCTTAAGGTAGTCTAACATATGTTATATTAAAGAATTTTGCCTTCGTAAAACAAAAAATTCCATATCTATATGCTGGAGAAGAGTATTCCATAGTTTCCACTTTGATCTTGACATAATTGTTCATTAATGTTTTTCAGCAAAAGTCTGGATATACAAAGGGTGCCCAACAAGATAAACACAGACACATCTCAACAAATTCACAGAGATGGACTGTATTAGTCCATTTACCCCAACTCCAAAATTTCCTTTCAAGAAATAGCTTTTGCTAAACTCTACTAGCAACTAGTATTTACTTCATAAGAAATAAAATCAGAAGATCACCACTTTTCTCATTCTCATTCCTGTTTTCTTAATAATGAGTCAAATTAACAATATAATGACCAAATGAAGCCAAAAAGCTGTAAGAAGAGAAGGATAGAGACCTGGGCACAAACCCTGTGGATAATGATTTTCTGTAAATAACCAAGATGAGACCAACATTCCAGCACTGTGCTGATTCTTAACATCCAAATCAGTATCTCAATCTGATCTAATTTGACAATCAGAGATTTATAAATGTGAGTTTCATAGAAGCAGGAACTTTTGTTTCTTTTTTTTCACTGCTTCCCAACTGCCCAGAAACAGTGCCTAGCATATAGTAGGTATTAAATAAATATCTGCTAA